TGCTCTGCAGGATTTCACTATCCTCCATTTCCTCTTCCGATGATGAATCCTCATTTTCAGCATTGCCTTCTATATGCTTCTGGATTGATTGTTGAATCTGAGCAGATGCTTCAAGGAATCGTTCTTCAGCTGTAGGTTGCTGTTTATCAGCTGCCAGCACAAAGGTAAATGAATATCCAATGTAATGACTGACTTCCACTTTTGAATTGCATGAAGAAGAGGTACTTTTGTACAAATTGTTCCATTTTTAAATGAAATGAAAGTGTTTTCTGGTTAACATTTATGCAATCCTAGAGTAACGGTGGAACACTTGATGCCATCTCAATGTACAGGCCACATTAAAGTTGATGAAAAAATGGCCTGTATTTATTTCAATCTGCTCTGACTTGAAGCACCCCCTCATCAGCAAAGAAGAGACAGGTTGGTGGAAACAGTTTCAACTGGGCACTGGACCCATGGACCGAGACTGTACTATATACATGTATAATCCAGTACAATTACTTGCCCATGCTTTGCGTGTCCCTTTAAATGATGCATAGACCTGTGCAGTAAGTTCCTACCAAAGAACCATAATTTCTATGTAAAAGCACGCCATCCTTTGTTCCCGCACAGAGCAGATAAAGGTTTCCCAATAACTGAATTTCAGTGGGTGCTACATTATGTTCTCCATTATGAGATTGGTAACTGCTGTCAACTGATGCAAAAAGTATGGACAACTGACTCGTCAAATGTTTATTACAATGAATGACATGAATACCATTCCTGATGAATACGAAACCAAACTCACCTCCTGCCTGCCGTGTTGTATTTCCTTCTCTTTGTTTGTCCTGACCTCTTGATATTTCTCCCCTCTTTTTCGTACCATTTCCATGTACCCACGGGTTTCCTCGGACATCAGCTGATGTATTTTGTTGCCACCCCCTTGGCTGGCCTCGACCCCGCCCCCTACCTCTCCCTTTAGGGAGGTATGATGGACCTGAGTGGTTGGACATTCTGTCTTCTCACTGATTCACTGCTATGCCATCATCAAGATTCTGCACAAAATGAAAACCTTGATTCTAGTTTCTGTAGTGCATTTAGAAAACATAGCAAGGCCTATCAACAAAACTGGAGAAAGTTTATCCTGGGGTCATTTTATTCTTCAGAATCTTCAGAAATTTAACTGCATGAATTCACTCGGAGGGAATTTCTAAACATGCAGTTAAAGACTTGCGAATCTGTCCAATAGCCATGGTAGCATAATCCCCTACTACTAATCCCCTAATCACTTAATAAGCACACTTAATAAAAGTATTACCATACACAATGTTTGATGCGATAAAAGAAGCTCAGTGGTTCACTTTTTGCCGAAGCCCTAGCCCCAGACTGCGGGCCAGTCTACTGGACTACCTTGGCCCCACAATGTTTCATCCAAAAAAACCCCAAAAATGCAAAAACGCCTTCTATGAACTCCATTTTGCGTATATGGCTCACTCACTCCATCGGAGCACTGATGTCTTAATATGGGTGATTTCCAGTTTGTTTCTGTCTGTAAAATTTTGGTTTCGATTTTGTCGTCTTCAATTCTGCCATTCATTTACTACAGGCTGAGATCGTTTGACCGATGCTAAACACAGTCAAGATTAACATGATTAGTACATCAATGATCTGATGGGGTGAGTGAGCCATACACGCAAAACGGGGTTCAGAGAAGGCATTTTCGCGGAGTCTCTACTTTTTTGATGGACCGTTGTGGGGTCAGAGGTAGTCCAGCAGACACGACCCCAGTCTGGAGCGA